CATATTTATTATATGATATACACCATATATATATATATAAAAGACACACAATGGTTTTGAAACAGGGACCTGCTCCGTTGCCCAGGTTGATTGTCCACTCCTGGGCTCACATGGTCCTCCTCCCTCAGCCTCCCAAATTGCTGGGGTCACATGCCCAACACCCTACTGTCTTAACTCATCTTTAAAGGGGAAGGCCTTGAACTTCATAAATGTTTTCAGAGAGCCACTGTTCCAATCTTAAGGACCAGGTTGAATGATTGGAGTTTGTGGCTATGCTCTGTACTTAATTGGATTTTGTTACTTAGATTTCTTCTGAGAATATATTGACTAGACAACTAAAAATGTAGAATATGTTGAATTTGTTTCCCATCTGAAAAACTGTATATATTCACTACTGCACTTGATCTTAGCCAAAAGGCCGAGAAGAGATTTATGCTATTTAAAAAAATAAAAATCAGTAATAGAAGGAAATTTAAAAAATCATCCATAATTCTATTACTGAAAAGCAATTACTATTTAGAAAATTTGGCAGGGATGTTTTTCTATGCAGTCTCTGTTTTTACATAGAGCGTCTTGTTTTACATCATTGTAAGCATATTTTCTTACAAAAATCATTGTCCATACTAGTATGTGATCTTAATTTTAATGCCTGAGTCATATTTCATTGAATGGGTATATCATTAAGTTTGCTTTCATTTATGCCCATTTTTGGTGACAACAGTTAATGTTATAAAGCTTTAAAAATTTTTCAGAGTATTTTCTTAAGGTCTTAGATATACTAGATTAAAAAGTAAACTATTTCTTGGATTCTTGCTATGTGCTGTTAGGTTGTCATTTAAAATTTGGTCTTTCTTGGTGGAATTTTTTTTGTCCTTTAGGTATACTTTGGATAATGATGTCCTAACCCTGGAACAGAGAAAATTTTATGAAGATAATGGGTTCCTTGTTATTAAAAATCTGGTATCTGATGCTGATATTCAATGCTTTCGGTACAGTTATATTATTTGTTATTCTACAAAAATATGTATTATATGTATAAAATGGGAGTCTAAATTATATTAGCATCTTCATGTTCTGATTTTTTTTTTTCAGGTTTTGAGACAGCATCTCACCATGTAGTTCAGGCTGGCCTTGAACTCACTAGGTAGCCCAGGCTGGCCTCAAACTCAAAGTGATCCTCCTGCCTCAGCCTCCCTAGGGCTGGGATTACAGGCACGCATCACCACGCCTGGAGTTCTGATATTGTTTTAATGATGGGGTTTGTTAGGCAATGTTTTTGTTTGTTTGTTTGTTTTATTTTGTTTTCGTTTTTTGTGGTACTGGGGATCGAACTCAGGACCTTGCGCTTGCAGGGCAGGTAATGGAATCGCTGAGCTAAATCCCCAGCCCTGTTAGGCAATGTTTAGGAGCAGGGCTAAAGTGCTAGGCTGTAGCTTTGGTCTCAGCTCACTGCCAACCCTGATGTGCCCCGGGATTCCCATCTTAGCTTCCCACGCTCTGTGGCCCATCTGTGAAACAGCACAGCAATAGGAGTCCTGTCCAAGCAGTGCTGTGGGTACAGGATAAGGTAAAACACGGGAACAGCACCTGACAGGTGCTGCGGAAGGGTTTGCTGTTACAAGCGGAGCATCCCTAATCCTGAAATCCAAAATCTGAAAGGCTCCAAAATCCAAAACTTTCTGACCACTGGTATACCACAGGGGTCAATTCCACCCCTGACCTCATGCAGCAGGTTGGTATACAATTACCTTCAGGCTG